CAGTAGTTTTCTACACTGATTTCAAGCAAATGAAGGTGTGTATTGCCTTTCTGATCCTCCCTGCCTTTGATGTCGTCATCAGTGTTGCCTGTATTTGAAATGATGTTAGGTACATAAGTGAAACAGGTGATTTCTGAGACATCTGCTGTTGATAGTGACTAATGTTTATTATTGTTCGTTAGGTAATTTCATCACCTCTAACTTCTCTATGTTCCCAGAGAAGTCATACCTTCTCTGCTTCACTGGCAATCTAAGCACCCACAACTATAAATACGAATTGTAGGACTCAGATTTTCGGGTTTGTAGGTAGTTTGATTAGTCACGAGCAGACATCAGATAGAGAAATTTTGTGAAGTATGGAGTATTGAGTAGCTGTTTCGGCCTGGTTTTACACCCCTCTGTAGAGCACGTTAAATAAGAAATTTAAAAATATCGATTATTTACTGAAAGGTGGCTGCAGCGTGCTTGTCTCAGAATTAAAAAAGACAAGTCGTGTCCGCAGGTGTCTGTTTTGTTGGACGTGGAGTATTGGTAATCACTAGCAATCCCAGAGTGATACTGTACACTTGGTTTATCCTACCTATCAACTCTGTAGAAATGATCATTCCTTCACTTCAAACGACCAACCACTTCCAGTCAAATAATAAGCCGAAAATAAAAGATCTGAATGTAACAAACAAAAGCATGCTATCTTTCGACATTGAATTACTTTTCACCAATGTCTCATTTAAGGAAATTGTTTCTTATGATAACCAGTTAAACATTGGAATACCAATAACATATTTGAAAGAACTACTGTTATGGATGTACTCTAAATGTACAATTCACTTTCTGTGACATCATCTATTGCAATGGGATTTCCCTTGAGTCCATTACTAGCAAACTGTTTCATGACAAGCCTCAAGGAAAGTTCATTAAAGTCAACCAATGATAGCTTACAACTGTATACGAGGTAAATAGACGACATTTTCATTATTTGCGAAAACAGTTTTGACCTCAGTCAATTGCCACAGGTATTCAACAACTGCTACCCAGCAACAAAGTTCACCCTTCAATTGAAAGACGAATCCCAAATTCGCCTTCTTGATGTAGAACTAACAAGAAGGCCCAGTACACTGAAAACACAAACCGAACGATTCCTTCAGTCTAGTGGCCATTGAACAGAAACGAAATTTAATTACATCCCTTGCCACTCGTGTTCGATGCCTCCGTAGTCCTGACGCTATAGAAGCAGAACTAGATATTCTGAAAGAAATCTTCATCTAAAATGGACACCTATTGAGATTCATTGATGAGAAAATCAAAATGCTGGTTCAGATAAATGAAACATTACTTGTTACAAAAAAAAAGACTTTACATGAACCTGTATTTCAAGGGAGACTTAACCTACGATATTCTTAAGAGAAAAATTTCTTAGTCTTTGAGGAAAGCACTCTTCCTGGCAACGCTAAGAGTAGCGTTCTCAAGTCGTCTACTGGTCTGCAGAAGCCTTAAGGACTAAATCTCACATCTGACCACTTATGTATGCATATTTCAGTTTACCTGTTCTTGTGGCGTCAGGCATATATTGGTCGTTCGACGCATACCCTGTCCAAAAGGGTTCAAGAGCACTATTCCGCTTAGTTCCAGAAAGATAATGGCGGTTCTATGAGGAATCTGACAATTGAACACCTTGTTGACACTTGTCATTCTCTCTCAACAAGCATCTCCTTCAGGGTAATTTACAATGTGAAGGACAACCTGCCAAAGGTAATACCCTTTTGTTGGCACACTGCTGAAGTTTTAGGCATTCAGATAGAGAAACTGGACCTCTACATACAAAAGAGAATTATCCAACCACTTCTACAATCATAATAATCACCCTGTTGTTTTCCACCAACTGAATTTTGTTTGTTTGTTTTTTAAAGCTATTTATGACTCTTGTATTTCTCTCGAACTCTTACGTAACTTCGCATTCTCCCTCGCTTCTGTGTGCATCCTAATTGCAACTCATTCATTAATTTATTCACTTTATTACGTAATCCTAATGCACTTATTCAACTTATTCAGCTCCTTTTGTGCATTGACTAATATCAACGATAATGACTATCACAACTCATCACTTTTGTTTCTATCCTCTTTTGTGATAAGAACAGACTGTATATAAATGAGATTGTAGAGCGAGATAGGAAAAGGAATTCGCTGCTGAACAGTACTTATTTTTTTTGTTCTCACTAATGCATGGATGCGGATCATTCCTGAACTAGAAATAAAACAACGTCCAAAATGTAAGCGAAACCGTCTTTTACAATAAAATTAACAATAATATTAATATTAATAGCAATAATATTCAGGTCATAACATGATATAAATCGTTAGACAATAGATTCACTATCTGTATAAGAAATGTTATTATTATTGTCTTGTATATATCTCTATTTCATGTGTATATATGTTGTTAGGTGGTGTGTTCATTGTGTTTGTGTTAGTGAATTCTCATTTTTCATTTTAAGCATAATATGTTAAGCAGAAAGATTACACGCTGAAATAACACACAACACACACACAGTGTGTGTGGGTGGAATTCCACACTGCGTTCTGTTCTTCATTGTGTTGTTGTATGAACATAAATGGACAGAAAAGACGATGGTGTAAAAACTTAGAAGAGAGTAGGATGTTTTTTAATCTTGTTGTTATTATTTTTCCAGAAAGAAGAAAAGTGATAAATAGATTTCATTCGGAAAAACAAAAAATAAATTTATTTAACTATCCTTTACACATCGTAGACATATAGAAGCCATATCTCACTTATGTAAACAAAAAGAAATATATCAATAATAATAATAATAATAATAATAATAATAATAATAATGGCAATAATAACAAGCAAAGAACTAAGTACTAATACGCCTTTTTATTCAGCTTTATTTAGAAGCTTGTTCAAGTTTTTTTAGAAGCCGCCAAAAGGCTTATTCGAGCTGTGATTAGTCGATAGGTAGGTAGACAAACGGACAAGCGGTGGATAGGCAGACAGGTGGGCATGCAAACAAAGGAATAATCAATAAGCAGACACACACGGAAATGTAAAATAATACTAATAATAGTAGATAGCTTGTCTGTTTTTTCAAGCTTTAAATGTATAATGACCATACATATTTCTTCACTGTATTCAAACAATATCTGAAATCCTAAAAATATGCAAACAGCAGAAACAGAAAAGATTTTTGTGTGCTAAGTAGAATTTCTCTGACACATAAAATACCAACCATGGGAAAAATCGAAGATAATGGTTAATTTTAGAATCCAGTTTATTTTTGGAAAAAAAGAATAAGCATACTGAAAACAGTGAGAAAAATACAGAAAGGGAGAGAGAGGGTGTAGGTAAGAAGACAGTAACGTAACATTATGTTAACTAGAACTGGTCCAAATGAAATATATATTATTCAGATTATATTGCTAGTTGGCATTATAAGGTTGTATAAGTTGAATAATACTAATCCATTTAGTGACCTCATCAACTCATTTAAACAGTTATTCACTGATTACTGAATAAACAGGTAATTATCATGTTCAAATATAACTAAAGACTAAGCAGTAGAAGAATACCTATGATATTCATCACTGCTAGTATTCCTACTATTCATAATGCGTATAATAATAGTAGTGATGGCAGTGAGGGGCGTCTGTTCTGTTCTCCAGTTTTTCCCGAGTGTGTATTGTAAAAATAAATAAGATTTAAAACAGAAAGCGGAAAGAGAAGAGAAGAATTGGACGTGCTCACCTGTGAAGAGAGAAAGGTGAATATCCTGTGGGTGGGTGAACGGACGGGTACATCACAGAAATGACTATAATTCGTGTCATAACACTCCAAAAGACGAAGCGGTAGAAGAAGATAACAAGTAAACAAACAAAACTGAAGCGTACATAAGTTCAAATAATCCTAACACACACAATAAGTCGAAAAGAAGTGGGGTTGAAAAAAACCAGACAGGAAGGATAAAAAGTAGGCTGTAACTGTAAAACACACAAATACAACACATACATTGAATAAAACAATAGAATCAATCCGTCTAAATCTATAAACATATTTTCAGATTTAGACTACGCGAAAATGAAAAAGAAACATGGACAAAAGAAAAAAGATAAATATCTCTAGGGCAAATAAAAAGAATTAGAAGGTGCGCAGTTGTAGTAAGTTGAAGCAATCGCATCAGTTTTAATTCGTTTAAAAAAATTTCCGTCTCTCTCATAGTCCTTCATTCATCTTATCATTGTTTACCAAAGTCACAATCACACGTGGTCAGATGTAGCAACAGGAAGTGAATAAATAATTAAATAATAATAATAACAGACAGTAAGTAAATTAAAAAACCTGAAGAAAATGTTAATTAGCTATAATAAATGCACTTCTTCTTATTCTATTCAATGTTCAGTATTCAAAAATTGTTTATTTCTGCATGTGTGTCTGTCTATCTCTCAATCTATTTGTTTGTTTGTTTGCAAGCTTGCTTACACTTGCGCTTGTAGATGTGTATGTGTTTGCGTGTGTGAATTTAGCTGGCGGCATAACCATATATTCCACTGAAGAATGTGGAGCATATTCAACCTACTACAGTTGGAAAATTTAATTTATTTCTATTAAAATAAAAATACATAAATAAATAAATGAGTGAATATATGAATTGAGTAAATAGGCAGTGAATACTGAACATTATTGTTGTAACAGTCACAGTCACACCTGTGCACAACTGCCTTTTTCTATGCATATATGTATACGTGAGTGGATGCACAGCTGTATGCATTGTTTTCTTTTGTCACTGTTCCACAGTTAAATAATTACACAGATTATCTCCATTCAAAGAATACAAGGAAATTATTGTTGAATATTAATAAATAAATAAATAAACATATTGTAGCAGTATTTTGTGGTATTTTTCATATCCTAAACACATTTTCAGGTCGAGTGTAGTGTGAACAAACGCCTAAATACTCAAGAATCAATCAATCAATCAGATAAAGACAGACAGCAAGCAACACTATACACGATCACGTTTATGTGTAATATAGGATTTTGAATACATATCCACATGTATATACTGTGTAGTATGTATGCATGCATGTATGTATGTATGTATGGATGTATGTATGTATGTATGTATGTGTATCTGTTTTATTGTCTGCATTTTGCTTGATCACTTGACTGATTTCTCTTCAACAATTAGATTAACTATGCCATAACAACTGGAGATGATGGGGAATAGCCTGGTGTTGGCGGAGATAAAGACGAAGTGATACGTGAACCAGCTGTTCTTAGATTGGTTGTAGTTCTTGTCCGATTTCGTAATACTTGTAACATAATTAATTTACGATGTCCACTTCTTTCGCCAAGAGCAACTAAAGCACGTTTATCATTGCTAATTTTAACTTGTAATATTTCAATATTTGATGTGAACCAACACATTTGATTACCGTCTCTTACACGCCATACACGAATAGAACCATCCCAACTACCTGTTACAACTACTTCAGAGTCAATTGACACTGCCACACTAAGTACCTAAAAAGGAAAACGTGAAAAGAAAGAGAACATGATTTAGAACGACATTAATGATTGGAACAACAGAAATGTATTCAGGGATCTACATCAATGATTCACTAGTAGAATACTCACCAGCCACTCAAATGTGGTTTGTGTTCGATTCTCGGTCGACGGACTCTTAGTCCTCGCCTACAGCCAGTAATAAACACTATAAAGAAAATAGGTTGGGTGTGAGGCTAGCAACCCCACTCCGTAAAAACGACAACACCGCCACCACTAAAACTTCAGAGCTGAAGCTTGGGGCGCAACTTTCCACTCGGAACGCAAAGGAATGAAAAGAGGAAATTCGGAGATGTATAGTTTAAATTAATGTATATATTATGAAAATCTGTTGTTGGGCAGAAACTGAAGTGTAAAGGTTCACTACTCCTGAGTATTAAGTGAAATCCATTAATCAACTCTATGTGCTATATAGTTACAATACGCTAATGTATACAGTACGATGCATGGCGGCTTGATGTTAGGTTTTTAGGAGGAGGAAAACAATAAGGACTATATATTATGCTTGTCAACAGTCGATCAACACCTAGGACTAGATAATGACATCGGTATCACGACATCCGGTTGCCGATAGGTATACACATTCCAGTCGTCATAGAGAGACAAATTTTGAGAGTGATATTAATTTTTTTTTTAATTTTTGGAGTGAAAGATGCAAGTTTAGGTTATTAAGAGGAAACATGTTTTTTCTACGAGTTTTCCTAAGTGCAACAGTTCCCTGCTACAAAACACTCCATGGGAATGGACTTGAACATAATGTTTTGTTTTGATCCATTTGATAATATGATCTCCATGACCATTCAACTAATCAACGACTAGTAAACTAGGTGAGATATAGGAGTGTATTGTGTGGGAATCGAACCTGAACCCGAACGGTTTTCGAATATTCTGCCAGCAAACTGCTGACTCAGAACAAAACTGTTTTTCCAGTTGCGTGATAATCAAAGCTATACTATTTGCCCCATATTTCAGTCCTTTGATTTAGGCATTGTTATTTTACTGAGCTACGTACTTTAATTGTGAACCTTTCCCTGTTTTTCTAGCCAACCAATGTCGTCATTTTTCGGAAGTCTTCGCCGACGAAATAACTGTTTTTCTTTGATAAGACCCACTGTGACCTGCTGTCTCTGCAATATTACTTTTTCTCCTGATTGCTTCAACCTGTGATGCTAAAGAATGTTGTTTCGCTGACCTGATACTTGAATGTTGACCACCTACAGCATGCCGATAAACTACACAGTGGCTTGACAGCCAAACTTCTAGAAACTGTCTCACATTCTTAGTGTTTTCTGATGACAAAAATTTGTCAGTCACCGCTTTTTAATAAACAGTATCAAGCCTTTTCAGATGGGCTGTCTTATCAGAAAGGAATAATTTCACGAGTGGTCACTATCATCATCATCTATGTTCCTCCACCATAAGATGCCTCTACTCGACATTAAAGATCAGATAGACGGCCAGAAACGATAAGCAACAAGAAACTCTTGAGGGTAGCACATAAGCCAACAACCTGTTACGCAAAAAATATGTAGAAGGAGATGGAGATGGACTGGACATACACTGAAGAGGTCACTGAGTAATACAGCACTCCAGTCCCTTGAATGAAACCTGAATGCGAAGCGACGGGTCGGGTGTTGATAGCAACATGGAGGAAATCATGTGAAAAGGAAATCAAAGCTTGCGGATGGCCGTATAGCCAGCTCAAAACAACAGTAGAGGAGTGAATACAATGGAGACATGCTAATAAAGTAGTATGCTTCACCTAGAACCCAAGGGATGGATAATAATATTAGAAACAGCATTTAGAAATGTTTCACAGGCAAATGTATGTTCAATGCATTTCTTACCAAAGAAAAGTTTACATACTTTCAGGTTTAAAAGCATCTGTTAATACACTTGAAAAAAACAATTGATAAATAGCCGAAACACTGACACTTACATCATCAGCATGTCCTTCCAGAGTGTGAAGTAGACGTTCATCAGGCATTGTCCATATTCTAGCCAACTGATCTTGTGAACCAGTTACTAAATAATGTCCATCAGTTGACAATTTAACACAATGAATTGTTTCAGTGTGTGGAGGTAAGACAGTTGGATTACCACCTTCAAGAGTTGCACTGATTTGAATTTGACGCATAACACGGCCAGTTAATAAATTCCAAACAAATAATTCACCTCTACGTGTGCCTAAAAACAGTTTTTGATTTATAAAAAGGACAGCAACAATAACTCGTTGTCAGAGCAGAAGGTAGTTAGTGGAAAACAAAAGAAAAAGTCATGAAAACTCACTAAAATATCATGGCTTAACAAATATTCCCTGAAATTTATCAAACGCTACAGGACTGTCAAACAAAGAGCTCCACCAATCCAATCAGCTCCTACAAAGGATGTTAACATGTCTTTGCCGTTCAAGGGGGATCACCAAAATCTGACCATCAAACAAAGATTTAAGGCGGCACTCTCAGTAGAACCCACCATACAGCTGAATTCATATTTATACAGAAAACGAGATTCATGTTGCCCTGAAACACCTCACTGTGTTTACCAGCTTACATGTACATGTAGTCACATGTACACAGAAAAGAGCCATCGATCTTTGTTGCTCAGGTCTACAAAACACTTTCCTAAGTGGTTGCGATAACAAATAAAATCACCTGATAAAACTAGTCCTAGAAACTAATGACCAACATCATCTATCACAAAGCATATCATGGAGACAGGTGACAAAGTTGATTTCAATTGTGCCTGGTATTAGATGGTTGGACGCAATCGGCAGGAAGCCTCGAACCTAGATTTAGTGCTAGTTGACACTTGCAGGTTCGAATCTCAGAAAGGAAATGAGTTCCTTCGAGGTTGCATATACGCCTTGCTGATGAGTGCCAACAAGCAAGAAACCTAGTTCCAAGGCTTCCTGCTGATCGCCTATAACCACCTAATTCCAACAATTCACAATACATTGTGGTGGCGGGCCAACTAGCTTGATGGTGGCCACATTGAAAACTTCACCACAGTTCCCTTTGTTTCATTTTATTTAACAGTGTTTTCATCCCCCTTTTTCTCCTACACGAATTTCTTACCTCTTAGCTATGATCTTGAGGTGTAAACATTTTTACCTAAACTGATAAAAATTGCGATCCTTATTGCTTTGTCAGCTTTTATATAAATGTGACAAGCGTGTGTGTTATCGGGACGTCGGTGATTAAGTGATAGAACACTAGCCAACCAAGCAGGTGTTCCAGGGTTCGATTCCCGGTCGACGCACTCCTAAATCGCTCTTGGCCGGTAGTAAACGCAGTAAAAAGAGAAGGTTGGATGTGAGGATTGCAACCACATCCTATTAAAAAAATACTGCCACTAGAACTTCTAAGCTCCAGATTGAAGTCCTACGTTCCACTGGGAAAGGGAAGGAAAAGAAAGTGTGTCATCCGAATTTCCGAAATATATTGCTCAATTGTATCATACTTTTACAATAAACTTCATCTTCGAAAAAAACACTATTCAGATTTTGCTAAAGAAACCCATTACATCGAAGTTAAGTTTCTCCTTGACACTTAATTCGTGTATTCTAAGAGTCACATGGCTGTAAAATAGTCGCAGAATAATTAACCTGAATAAAACGAATGATTTAGTGTTTCACTGCTATCGATCATATATAAATCTGGAACTGATAAACACTTCCATACCTGACTTTTAATGAATTTTCAAGTGTTGGTGTACAATAACTTGATTGGCTACAGGTTTGATAACGGGCTTACATCAGTGAGAGAACCATAGGAAAACCATGGAGTACTAAGCAGTTGTTTAAGTCTCGTTCAAGACACTTCGACAAAATGAAGCACAGGGGTTTGAAACCATGACCTCCCGGCTGTGAAAAGACGAGCTCGTAAACCATTCAGCCACTGAAACACTATCCGACAACTCATGAATTCTAGCTTCTACAAACTTGCAATATACATAGCCAGCCAATGTCGCAGACGAGTAACGATTTTCCTACATGAATCGGTGGACGCTACTGAAAACGACTTCTCATCGAACCGGGTAACTTCCTTTATACTTCCAGTCGCTTGTGGACATAAGATTAATCTTAAAGTGTTGGTTTACAGGGATTTGTTTGGTTTTAAGTTACACTTAAACCCCTGGTAGTGTAGGTAGTGCCTACTACTAAAGCGTCCCAGACTAGGACAAAACAACTGTCCGGTACTTTCTGGTTTTCCAGTGGATCTCACACTGATATCAGCTCGCTATCAAACTTTTAATGAACTGTTATAGACTAAGTAATTCCATGTTGAGAGGTGAGTAAAATATTTACAGTGAGACCTGTTTTACTTAGACTAAACGTTCGTTGGTAAATGTGACTACAGACTAGTTGAAATTTACATTCCCTTAGAAATTCGAATACATATGACTCAGTGGGGAAACTAAATATTTTGTCACTAGGTTATTTAGGCCCTGAAGATTGATCCCTCCTTTCACCAAGAACGTACAACAGTGTTGTGTTACACTAACTAAAAAGTCATACTGCACATCTGACCAAAATGTTTTACTAACAGATAGACAGATAGGTACACTAGTTATCACCCAGTGACCATTTAGAAAAATATTGGATGTATAACATTTTATAGCTTTAATGTACGTTGCATTAGTAGCATAGACTCTTTCTCAACACTTCAGCCTTATCTAGCCGATTTTAGCGAAATCCTAGTTAGCTACTTGGAATGACAGTAAAAGAGTTTTGTGTTTTGGGAAGAACAATGTGCACACTATTTCATTTCTGGCAACAACTGTCTCTTTGCACTGGTAACTTGGTTAGTGAGACAGTTGAAAATATTTGTAGTTCAGAGTATGCATGTTAAGCAACGTCAGTCAGTCTTTGGGCTGGTGTTCGGTTGCCTTTACTTATTGGTAAATGAGACATTAATACAGTAAAAATGATGACAAGTGCAGTAGTCAAAATTTTGTCAACGAAATCTTTAACTAAAAGAAATTAAACATTGATAAGTGTCAATATAATTATAGATTCAGCAGAGAAATTCCCGATTTAACATCAGCAATACTTCAACAAGCCAGTGATTTCAGAAGAAAAATTTAATTATGATCTCAAGCTGACTTCAGTTGGAGGACCACTAAAAACCAGAAGGGAGTACTGAACAGCCGTTTTGTCCCAGTTTGAGACTCTTCATCAGTACGCATCGAGAACCTCAGGACTGGTCACCTCTATCGCAAAACTAAGACTAAAGACAAACTGAACATCATAACAGTCAGTTAGTAACAATAGAGACTAAAGGAAATGCACTCAGTTTGAAACAGAGTTCAGCATCCGTACAGAAAACAAAGCATTCTACTAGGAGGGAAAGAGGGGAGATTGGGCGTGACTAGGTGATCTAATATATGGAAATGTTGATGGTTTTAACTAGAACTCTTTTTAGTCACACTAGTAAGTGACCCTGACAACGAAAAATTAAGTCCCTAGAGCAACGGACAATATAACTGACTCTATACAAGAGCAACTGGATTTATCAATACAATAAGAGGTGGCTAGCAGAGCTACTCTTTCTCTCAGTTTCAGAATCCCAAGTAATCCTGTGTTAAATAAGAGTTGCTGACAGGGACTGTTTAGTCGTCGTGTAGCGATTCAAAACAGTTTCAAAACCAATTTGCAATTATTGAAATCAGAAAAACTTACCAGTAACAGCTTCATCGTTGCCGATTATCTCAGTGGCTTCACATTTACCATTGAATGTAATAAACTTAGGCTGATGTACACCCTGATAAGAAAAATAAAGGAAGAAAATAGAATTTGGAAAAATTCAGTCAAGTCATTAATTATTTAAAGAGAAAAAGGCCCATTTAATTTTAAAATAGTCTCATCAGCTAGACAACACACTGTGCATCAGTAAGCTGTTCACAGATAAAACTACTGCAGAAGACAAAAGAGACCGAATGGAGAATATTCCTTCCGATAACTTCCTCAGTTATTAAGATCAATGGAATTAGACATTATCTGACAAAGAATATTCTGTTATTCATATGGCAGCGAAATAGTACATTAACGGATCGAAATTAACTCAAGATATATATATATATCGCATGGATTTGATTGGTACCAGTTTTGAACAAGAATTGAATTCATTTAGAGATCTATTATAAACGAAAAGTACTGGACAGGTGTTCCGTCATTGTTTGAGAATCTTCAGCAGTATGCACCCATGACCCTACCATAGGATCGAATCCAGAACCGTCAGATTACAATCACAACTGGCATACTTCTTGGTTTACAATGATTTTCTAGCTGAAGTCAGTTGGTGGTCACAGCTGAAAACGATTTATACATGCATTGCATTCTCTTTGCTTGCTTTTGTATACTATCAGACTTTTTATTCCCATCACTAATATTGTCATCCTATAAAATATGTAGGTAATATTCTCTCATAAATGCATATATGCGGACATTCATTCATTCATTCATATATTCATTCTCACCCATTTCACTTCAGACAATGACTTTTAGTAATCAATAATAGTCAAAATACCATAAAAACAATCAATGAAACAGGCAAGATTTATATGCAACACAGTAGTAGTTGTTGTTGTAGTAACAGAAGCAATCCAGTTATTCGACAAATAAAAAAGTATGTTATAAATTAACCTTCAGCTTCTTCATTAATTAATTATCATAAATAGAATTAGTAAATGGATAGAAAATAACTTCCATATGGTAAACATGTTATTAGTTTTACACATCTGTCTACCTGGTTAGCTTTTTTAAACGACTTCTTTTGCAATATGTCATGTCCAATAAATGGATATGGTTGATTTCTTTTCGTTCCTCTGTTTTCTGAGTTTGGAACACTGACCCTCGAGCTTTAAGCTTTGAAGTTCAGTAGCGATGATGTTGTATTATTTACAGGGTGGCGTTGCTAACTTCACACTGGCTCAACTTTCCCTATGAAATCAGGCTTACTACTAGCTGTAGATGAGGTTCAGAAGTGCGTCAGGCGGGAATTGAACCTGAGACGAACATTTTAACCTTGAACCACTGAAGTACAAATATATATATATACATATATGATCAAGCACAGCAGTTTAAATTCTAACCTATTATTTTTTATTTTTTGATTATAGCTTGATTCAACACATTATTTTTTGTACAAGTATGGAATTTTCAGCATGTGATATCGGTAGCCCAAATTTTGCAGGCCGACCAATTGATATCAGTTGTGGGTCGGCAGGGGATCGAAACCCGGTCGGCAAGAGTCCTAACCACTGTGCCACCGACGCACATTGTGTTCAATTTGTATCAACTATCACATGGTCACAGATGGCCGGTTGGAAAGAATTAGCAGCAAGAAACTCTGTCAACGAACCAACCAAGGACCTATTGCCAAAGAAATATGCAGCAGGATATGAGAATTGGTCAGACTCACGCCGAGGACATTGAGTGACATCAAACACCAGGCCCTCGAGTAAAACCCAAATATGAAATCACAATCTGGGCGTCCGAGAGTGGCATAGGAATATCGTACGAAGAGGAGATGTGGGCTTATGGACAATATGATCAGCTGCAGGGAACAGTTTGAAATCGGTATCTGCTGCTGAAGCCCTATGTCCTACTCAAAACCTAAGGGGATAATAATGACTAATAATCATAACCTAATTGCAGAATTAACTTACAGTTACATTAATACAAATGAACTGTCGTCAAGATTTGACAGAATAGTTCTAAAATATTTGGGCGCCGAGTGAGAAGTAGACATTTGTAAAAAATTATATTTGTAAAGTCTCAGCGAGATTGAAATGAGTAATTCCAACGTTTCGTCTAACCATAAAATTCTAGATACTAACAGTTTGAACAGACATGAAGGCGTGATGTTAGCTGATGCATAGGAAATTCTTATTAATAAATAAAAAATGGATATGTATCACTAATTATTAATACTTGGTCAAAATTCTCGACTGTCCATATCTTCTTATGGAAACGTTAAGAAATGTTTTACAACTGTTTACCCACACACACATACACACTCTGTTTAATGTGTTTAACAAAGGTAGACCAATATTTGTAAGTCCGAGGTCAAATTTTGATCACAGCTCATAAAATTTTGTTTACTATACTTGTTGATACTTTTTTGAATGACTCATGATTAGACAAATTTTTACAAATCAAGTGATGTTCCTTTTTATATATAAACCTATGTTATGTTAATTTCGATTAATTTCCCTGAAGAAGTTCGGACCAGATTGCCGAACGAAACGTTGGAATTACTCATTTCAATCTCGCTGAGACTTTACAAATATAATTTTTTACAAAAGTTACATAAATAGTTAGTGTAATATTAAACAGCAGGACTTAGTGTTTAAAGTGGCACATGTTTCTAACTCTTTTATTCTTTCGAGCCATTATGATATAACTTATGAAATTTCCTTCGTGTACAACCTGAATACAACCCACTCACTAAATAATTTGTCTCACTGCATGACCTCGTTACCCCTTATTCAACTTTCTTATTGTATTGAATAATGTTAACAACTATGGTTATGAATGACACTTCATCTGTTTTGTCACTATCCTCTTTTATAGAAAAAAAACGTATATAAATGCAGTGGTACAGCTACAGTCTGATCCATTCCAATATCCCTTTGCATATTTGTTGGTTGGTTGCTAGATTTCATTGGTGCTAATCCCTTCTGGCTGTCTAATCCTGAGTATGGAGCGACGGCAGATGTTTGACTCGTTATTTGTGCTGAGTACAGTGGATTTCCACACTGATTTCAGATTAATGAAGGGCTATCTTGATTTTACTAATCCTGCATGGTTTTGACATCCTCATCCATTATGTCTACCTGTAACTGAAATGATACTGCCTAGATAAGTGAAAGAAGTGACCACATTCAAATTTCCTCCGTTGATAGTGATTTCTGCTTCTTGTTGCTGATGGCAGTCGGATATTCTTCATCATTTCTGTCTTCACTGCTTATTTTGTCAACTTGTTTGTTCTCGCCTGTAGGTCTTCGAGTGTGTGCGTGTGTGTGTGTGACATTAGACATAACATCATATAAACATATGCTTAAATAGTTATGCTATTTAGATAAGTATACATACAAATACATATTGAAACACTCTTCTTGAGTAGAGCTAAGTAAAATGATTCAGAAGAGATAAGCTAAATGAATTAATTATGTAGTTATCTGTCTCTCCACGGGTGGTGCCAATATTAGACAAAAAGTTATAATAAAATAATAGAAATCAATAACACAAGTCCCTAGATAATTATTTGAACAGCTATCGTCAATAATCAATATTCCACTAATCAATTAATGTACTCATGGGCACACACTCAATGAGAATATGTGTAACTAACTGATCGGTAGATCGATCGATGGTTTAGTCGCATAAGGTGAAAAATGAAAGAAACAGATACGTAAAAGCATTTGTAAAAAGTATTAGATGGAAAATATACCTTAGAAAAATTCAAGGTATATACAGCTGAACATTACTCATTTTACAGTATTAGAATTTATGTGGAGTTAAACTGACACATCACACTGTTTATTTTATTTATAGAAAATAAAAGGCTCACGAAATCCTTGTCTATGTTTGATTTTTTACTTATCTAATGAGTGGATTTTTTCTTAGTTTTCTAGAATAACCACTTGTATCGATTTGGATTCACACATAACCAAATAAGGAACAAGAATGAAACTTAAGTATACGGATAGATTTCACCAGTATTATTGAAAATTTTAGTTTATCAACTGAAAATACACGAGGGACATATGGACAGACAGAATGATCCTAGAAGATCCAGATTTCGTAGGTGATTTATGCCTCTTCAAGATTTACATTTGGAAACCAGCAAGTTTGTAGCAAAGGCAGGCAACGAAGACGGGACTTCAAGTGGACATAAAGAAGTCAGAAGTAATATACGGAGCCACTGGTATCAAGCACCGATCGCTGTCAATGGAGTAAATCTAAAGTAAGTTTTCTCTGTCACTTATCTGGGTGGCAAGGATGAAAATGTCGATATCACCCAAGATCGAAAAAGCAAGACAGGTGTTCGTCACTCTGAAATCAGTGTAGAGATCTACAGTAACCAATCCAGGGAACAAGATCGGAATTTTTAACAGAGCTTCTGTGTGGTCCAGAAGCTTGACATGTGCGCTTCACCAAAGTCATTTCCAATAAGTAATTGCAAGTTTTCGTCAATGCCCGGCCTCTTCGTCTGACATTCAAGGTTAGATAGCCAGCCGGAAAGGGTAGGCAAAAACGAACTCTGTCGGACAACGAGTCAGCCAACAACCTAACAAGTTTGCAGAAGGAAGTGGTGACGGTTTATATATGTATATATGCTACATCTGATCACTGCAGAACACTCGAGTAAGGAAAGGAACATGTTACAACGTAGCTGCTTGGCTCACAATGTATATTTTGAAATTCTACACAGGTGAATAGGTAGTTCTCCATTACAATCAACTTTGTGTAACACACCATTTATCACATCTAACTGTAGCTTCAGTAAATCCATCTCTAAGCGATTTGGTTAACTTATTGGAAGTAAGAAAAAGTTAATTGAAACTTTATCAGATTTCTAGTAAATTACAATTAGTGTCAAATCAGAATGAATCAAGATGTAAATGGAGTAATAAATATCTGAATTATATTAAAACATAAAACAGTCGAACTAGCTAAGTGTGATAGAAGTGTGCATGAAAACTTCATCTCGAAATGACGTCGGAGACAGAGAATCACTGAAAATCAAGGAGTAATGAACAGATATTTCATCATAATTTTAGGACTCTTCAGTAGTCGACACACACAAGAACCACAGCTCCGATGATTGCAAGATGAGTATACTTATTATAAAAGCTGAAACAACGTCTAGGATTTCTTGTAGATTGTTTCGGAACATCCAGCATCAGTTCAGAATTCACCACAACGACAAGTCTCATAGGCTTTCAAATGTCTTTTAGATGTGATTTACAGGATTTTATCACAACTAAGATTTCCCTTAGTGGCTAATTAATGATGGGCTAGTAATTTTAATGGTAATCATTTCTAAGTGAAACTCATCACTCGTTGACTTTACATTACGTAATCTGTTACTTTGCTTGATATTTTTTGTTACCAACTGATATGAACAACTGACCTTACAGGCAATTTTCTAACCTTATTGAACACTTTATAACTCTACAGCTTTGAAGTGAAGTTTCTTATTTTTATATCACTTCATTCATTTACGCTCCATGTGAAACTTAGGGCTTCAAGCTTAGAGTTTTGAATTTCCAATAGCAATGGTGTTTAAATTGTATGTGGGGAGGTTGCCAGCCTCATACCCAACCTTCCTTCTCTATCGGGCTTGCTGCTGACTAAGAGAGGTTTCGGAGTACATTCGCCAAGAACCCAACCCCGGATCATGTGAGGCGTAGTTGACAGGCATCCTACTACTGAACCACAGACGCATACAACTAGAGTACTGGACAGCTGTTTCGTAGCAGTTTCAGATTCTTCATCAGTATGAGCAACAAGGTTCGAACTCAGGACCTCTCGCGTACAAGGCGATCTCGTGTACCATTGAGCCGCTGGGACCAATGAGGTGAAGTTAGGAAGAGAATATTCTTTGCTGACTTATGCTTTTTTTAGTCAATGAAGACCGAAGATCAGTTAATAGTTGACTGTTGTGTCAGTAGCGGTGTATTATCATGAGGTTGTTAATGATTAAGCCCATGATAATAGTCGCGGTTCTGAAGCTATCCATGTTAAAATAATAAAAGCAAGTGATGATCGTCTAAACATAGTACATCAACTTACCACATAACTTGCAGTCAAATCGAATACCATAAAGTAGGCCAATTCATCAGTGGGATTATTCAGTCCAGCAACAACTAAACGATCATCCATAGAAATGTTTAGATAAGTGACAGCATCTTTCAGCAAAGAATTAACTGGATGATATGGTATAATATGATCTGACTGATTGCCAGGTAAATTCCATACAAGTATAGATGGTCCTTCTGGTGTCACCTGAGCAACAATCACATATTCACTTGAACGTGTTATACACGTGGCTGTACACATAATCTCCATCGGCATTTCAAGTTGTCGACCTGAGGCAAAATCCCAAAGCTATTACAAAAGGGAGAAGAAATATTTCATGATTATATAAGCTTTTTTCAATGTATAGAATGAATAATATTCAGTTATACACATAAAAGAGGGAATGGGAAGCTGTTCTGTTCTACAACACACTTGGTTCGCTATCGTCTCTCAGTCAATCTTGACAATGTCCGTAAAGTTTTCTTCGATTCCAACTTTTTGAAACAGCAAGGTACTGAAGCCAGACCTCTGTATACAAAACAGAGAGTACAGTCTATTTTCAACAGCAATCCCGTGAATCCAGCTACTTGTCACAGGCATTCAGTAATCAACCCATATGGTAGTACTATTTGATGCGGCTTGAGATGAACTGAGTCAACCGACACAAACAAATGCATTAAGAAAAGAAAGCAGTTAGTTATATTATTTTTTTCATGTCTGATTTGGACTTACTTGTAAGCGCTTCACACGAATTTCACTCGGTTCATTCAATGTATCCAAGCCGGCAATATCATCAACAACTTGGGCGACGAGCACAGTGTCATCACAAGCCAAATGTAAATCGGTACATCCAAATTCTTGACCATCCATAATTTTGCATAAATCTCCAGACTATTTGAGAGAAAAGAGAAAGGAAACACAGGGATTATAAACAAACGAACAAAAATAATACCATACCACAAATAGATAATTTTCAAGCATTCTTCATTTATTGTTCAATCTGACTTTTTCAGACTATACTGTTGCTTTTAATTCTATTCCCAGGGTACTTTTACTAAGCAAGCTAACTTAAGCACGCATTGAATCCCAGGTCACAAAGTCGTTGTCTTCCTGCTTTTTCGGCTGGAAATACCATACCGATTTTCATGGGGAGCGCTCTACTTTTTCTCATTAAAGAAGCTGATGTGCCCTACAAGGTGCTGGAATTTCCCCTTTTCTCCGTTTTTCTTTCTTTTTGCTTGACTTACCACAACAATCATTATATTTCTTGACCTAAAGGTGGCATTCGATTCTGTCGACCGGGAGGTTCTCTGGCGATGCTTGGCTGTAAAGGGAATGCCAAGAAAATACATTGCACTGATTAAGGCACTCTACTCGTACTCATTCAGCCAGGTGAGGGCTTATGGCGAGTTGTCATCTGAAGTGGTGACGACTAGTGGCGTCCGTCAAGGATGCCCATTATCCCCATTCCTATTCAACTTCATCATAGACGTACTAATGGACTTAACCCTATCACACTTCAGCGACTCAGGGATTGACTTGCTACCAGGGAATAATCTCGTTGACTTAGAATATGCGGACGACATAGTCCTTCTAGGCGAGGACTCTGACAAAATGCAGAGTCTATTGAACACCCTGAGCAACAATCTTCGTATGGTTGGCATGCGATTCGCCCCTGTAAAATGCAAGATGATGCTGCAGGATTGGACTTCATCGACCCCTAGATTAGAAATAGGAAGTGAAATGGTAGAACACGTCGACCGCTTCAATTACTTGGGAAGTACCATCAGCCCCAACGGGTTGATCTCCGACGAAATCTCAGCACGAATACAGAGGGCTAGTTTCGCATTCGCCAGTTTACGCCGTCTCTGGCGTAGACGCGATATCCGACTATCGACTAAAGGGCGTGTGTACTGCTCAACAGTCCGCTCCGTCCTCCTTTATGGCTGTGAGACCTGGCCATTGAGAGTGGAAGACATGAAAAGATTATCTGTGTTCGATCATAGGTGTCTGCGTTCTATCTCCCGCGTGAAGTGGTATAATAAGGTGAGCAATATTGAGGTTAGGCGTCGAGTGCTAGGTAAGGCGGGGAAATCAATCGACGAAACTGTGAAATTACTTCGACTGAGATGGTTAGGACATGTGCTACGTATGCCTAGTCATCGCCTTCCTCGACAATGGGCAATGTTAGCTGGTATAGGGCCAGGCTGGAAAAGAGCTAGCGGCGGTCAAACGAAAACATGGCACCAGTCAATGAAATCCACAACAGTTTGCTTAAGCCACGTAGGAAGATGTAGACTTCCTGGTTGGGGCCCTCGGGATGGTAAAAACCAATGGTTGGAAACAATTGGTGACATGGCTCAAAATCGTTCTCAGTGGCGCAGATGTATCCACTCCTTGTGACTTATGATTTCCAATGAAACTGTTTTGTTCTTTGTTATTACTATTCCTTTGTCTCACACCTCTGTTTACTGTCTATATTATGCATTTCTTCTACTTCCTTCTCTTGCTTTGTGTGCTACATAGATTGTGGCGACTTGAACTGCCGCACATATGTGCAAAGTTCTATGTCGAAAACCGACCGACCTGACTTACCACATTCTTTAGAAGTCAATATTATTAAATATGTTGAAGATCTGTCAGTTTATGTCCCAGCCATTTCTGATATGAATAGTTTCTTATCCGGTATTAACCAATGGTCTTACGTAGTCTTAAACCGACTCCCTCTAAATGCCAAACGATTAATTTTAGTTTCAGGGATGAACAAGTGACCTGAGTGGACTGATTTGGCACCATGATTCCACGGCGCTGCGGTAGGAAATAAAGTGAATATCATTTATCTTGGTATCAGTTTCTCTTCCAATCTTTGTTAGTCATCTCCTATCTTTCATCTGACTTATCACTTTAGGAAATTGGCTTAACTCAACCTTTTCTCATACAATTTATTAATTCATGTATTCTGCCTATTCTTCTGTATCGTCCCTCTTTATTCCTTCCTAGGTTTCTCAAAATGGACCATGTTATATTATGAAGAGCTTTGAATAGCTGTAAACAGGGTTAGTGATGTACCTTTGAACCAAATAAGTGACACTATTGTTGACAGGAACTTTAATTCTCGCAAGTCATCATATCAGATATTGAACAGCCTCTTTATTCACAGCTTTCTCCATGTAGCTCATTCAGTAAAGCTAGAAGAAATTTTATAAGAATTTATGTTCATAGGGCTAATTTTACGAATTCAGCCATACCATATTGACAGTATAGGTTCTGTGTGGAGACACGTGTCAGAAAAGAGAATACAAACCTAATTTATATTCCGTAAATAAACAGGAAATTATAACCAACATTATTACTACTACATTTATTATTGTTCTATTAAATTTTAGTTTTTGTGGTTTTATTGTATCTACTATTCTATGTATTCATTTATTCGTGAAAGGAGATAAATTGTTGCAATACATAGGACGCTGAAATTTCTCTACTGTATGGAAAATTATTGCTTGGAGTGAAGGGATTATGATTAATATTATTAAAACGATGCATTGTGATCTGTACAAATGAAGGATACACATTGATTGTGCTTATTTCTTAAATGCGCTGCATCATCAATGATCAATGATATCATCGCTGCTAAGTGATTGATCAGCACATCAATTATGTAGGCAAAGTAGATTTTAAGTAGATTAGCAAGTCATTTATTGACTGCAAGACTACTTTAAGCGAGTCATCGCAAGAAACTGCAGAACTGTTATTGCAACTTATAACATTATTACACAGTGTGAATAGTTGCTTCGAATTCCTGCTTTATGTCACAGATGTTTCGTGGAAGACTTTAGCACTTCACAGTGCGAAGTGACGCAGATTCGGATCTCTGAATAAAAACATACATTCCTTTAGGGCGACTTTCTTCTAGTTAATGAGTGAAATGGAGTGTGTTCTCCTGCTAACATTCAAAACTCTGACATTGGATGAAGGTTACCAAAACACTTCTGTATGGTTTTCCTTTAACCAAGAAGGAATCTACAGGTTTAGAAATGGTATATCTTGACGAAAACTAAATGTGTTTCGTAAAACTTGTAAATATACAAAAGATGGAGCGCAAATCAGTAGAAATTTTAAAATGTAATCAGTGTTCTATGATGAGAATCAAAATTTCACAATTGCTATACGTAGATAAACACTGAGAATAGCAACTTTAAACGTTTGGCCACGAGTAGGTGATAAAGCTAACCGTATAATTGGATCAGATAAGGAGTGATCTAATTGAAGGAGGGCCGTTTAGCTTTTTTTGAATCTAGCTCGTCAATGGAATACGTGAATCGACTCAGCTCAGACAGAAGAATCAATTGAAATCACTTGAAATTAGGTGGTGTATGATGATGATACAAATGGGCCCTTTAGGAACCACTTACTTCAACCAAATAATCAGGAACCACCGTCCAGTGTTTAAGTCATTTTAATTTGGTTAACAAAGATGACCACTTAATGTCAGGGTTTTCCAAATACTCATATCAATCTAATTAGCGTATGATGACTAACAGTGGAGTCAGGGATGCACATTTCGTCTCATTTCGGACTCGTCACTGGATGTACCTGCATTCCCTAGTGAGTGATGATGTTCCCACCGAGGCTTGAACCCAGTGCCCATAGTTTCAAACGCCAAAGCGTTATCCACTAGATCACTTGGGCCACGAGAGCCACCTCTAATGCAACGGGTCATATTAATTATTCAATTTAGTGGATAACGCTTTGGCGTTTGAAACTATGGACACTGGGTTCAAGCCTCAGTGGGAACATCATCACTCACCAGGGAATGAAGGTACATCCATATGACGAGTCCCAAATAGGACGAAATGCGCGTTATCCTGGATTCCACTGCTAGTCACCATCCACCAGTTAAATTCTCATGACATACCCAGACATCGTCGTACCATCTGCACAAGAAGCCTGAGACCGAGCACTTCGGTCCAATCAGTCGACGGGAAAAATCTAAAATTCAGTTAAACTGATATCAATCGGTAGCATTTACCATCATGCCTGTATAGTGAACTATGAGGAGATATTTTTCGACATAAGTGCGAATGATAGATATAAAGCATACATCACCATCAAGTCAAATGTATTAAAAGCTGATGAAATTCACTAAGCTGTAGGACTGTGAGTAAAAGATGCTAATTAAATGGAAATGAAAAGCAGCCCTTCAAATTTCCCGCCTGAATATTTTTCCCAACTATTTAAACAAGGGGATCAGAGGGAAAAAAAACTAATTCTTATCGGAAAAATACTGAGACAAAATCAGACCTTATTATCTACGATACAAACGTCGTTGAGTCATCTTGGCGAAACACCCAGATTAAGTGTGAATAGACAAAAAGAATTATATCTGTCCTGAGGGAATTTTTTCTTACTCAGATTATCATGGTTTAGCCAAAGAGCAATCGCTCTGCTCATTCAGGACGGATTTTGATTACACAGATGCTATTACTTCAAGTTTGATCACGGATTGATATCAGTTAGAGAACCACTGAAAACCGCCGGGGATTACTGGACAGGCGTTTCTTTCCGGTTTGGACCCTTCAGGAGTAGGCATCCATGACCCTAACCAACAGAGATTTAACTCAGAGTCTTCAGGTTACGACGTCAGCTTACTGATTTTTCAGTCAACGGGGCAGAATCTAGCGGCCATCCATGAAATCTCACAACATTCAACCAAATGGCTGACTCCATATACTTATCTTAATTTTATTCGACACAACACACAGAGATGGAATTTTGATCACTGGATGACGATTCTAATACAAAATTGAATTATATCATAGGAACCAAAATATACTCTAATATCAAATGATTGTGACACAATTTGAAATACACTGATATGATGTCTATTAGGTAATGCTTGCGCTGAAAAAACAACAACATGAGTTTGATAAGTATCCATAATCTCAACATACAAGTTACTCGTCTTAGTGATGGCAGTTGATCATGATCTTTGAAATTTCAGCAGCAGTGTTGTTGTTTTTACAGGGTGAAGTCGCTTGCCTCACGCCAAACCTTCCTTATTTAACTGGGCATACTACCAGTTAGGCGAGATCTAGGAGTCCGTTGGCCAGGAATTGACGCCAGACCATGTGCATCGATGGAGAGCATTCTAATGTATTTATTAACGGGAAATCACAAGTAGGAATCATTAATCCCCATTATGATGATATGCTTTAAATGTTATATGCAAAGAGATTTACATTTAAAAAAGTCTACCTTCATTTTAAGCACACACTACTGCTCACCTGAGTATCCCACACTTGTGGTGGACCCATTCCTGAACCAGTCACAACATATTTACTATTCTTTGTAATTACAACACAGTCAACCTTCATTCCTTCCATGTTGTAGACATTTTGACGAGCGCTTAAGTCATCCATTATTGGTTGATCAATGCGTATTGTAGAAATACCAGATGCTTCAATCCTAGAATTATACACCACGACAAAAAAGTAAGGTTTACATGAAATTACATTTTGAAAATTATGTATATATATATATATTAACAGAAACCCTGATCGATGTGATTAAGAAATAAATTCACACAATCTATAAACTTCCAGTTGGGAGATAAACAGGAAAAATAAAATATGGAAAATAAAATTGTGGAATGGCTAACTCACAAACGTTTACGATTGGATATCTGTGTATTGTAAAAGAGCTGTCATCATTTCACCTACTCAGTGTATCAGAAGAATTGGTACTATTGACTCCTTAGAAGATGAGCATTTACTTTTTTTAAAGGATCCTGGTTGAAGATGGATACCCGGAAAGGTAAAGAGTGGGTTTCATTGGGAAAAAATACCGTATATGAACATGGACTTCAGGGGAGGCTTAGTGGCAGATATCTTAGAGTGGAGAATCTCTAGTTCCCTGCGGCAACATTAAAGTGATATTCTCTAGCCACCCACTGCTTCTAAGTAATGTAAGCGACAAACACCCTCATATGACCACTTCTGTGTGCATATATCATTTCCCTTGCTAATTTGGAGCTAGGAATATACGTCATCCTATACGCGTCTTTTCAAAATGTGTTAGAGAATACTACCCAGGCGGAAATGGTTCATTAAAAAGTGCTACAGTTGAACACCTCGTCAGCACGTGTAATAATACCACAACTAACTCACCATTAAGAGTCATCTACAAAGTGAACAAAATCTACCAAAGACAATGTTTTTGAATGTTTTATAATGCAGAAGCCCCCTCAATATGCACTGAGAAGCCGGAGCAATAGGTTCACAAGAAACTAGTCCAACCTCTACATTTACCATGCATCTCATCGACTGAATAACCCCTCTTATTTATCACACTTCATCTAATCTTGACATTACTTACCATAATGGACCGCTTAACACGTAAGACAGAACGCAGACATATTTGGTCAGAGACAGATATCCTTTTCATATCTTCCGTTTTCAATGGACATGACAATTTATTCATTTGGAAAAATAATGGATCACAGTAAATATGTAGTCTACTGAGTAGTAGCTGCAACATTTAGAGTGACAAATGTTCAACTTATTTATTGGTCAAAACATTTGAATTTATCTAAAGTGTAAATATATTCAGATAAAAGTACCCCAATGGGATACAAGTTGTATACAATATGAAGTAAGACTGAACTGGATGAATCACAAGTGTATCATATTATACAGTTGCATAAGGACAAGATATCCTTTTCGATGTTAATATGTCTAGATTTAATTTCTAACAGTTTTAAGTTATAAAACATACATTTCTCAGACACATTTCTGTGAAAGTAATTAAATACCTCTCCTTCTAACATTAATGGTCTAAGCACTTAATAAATATGTTCAGTGAGTAAGCAAAGTGCTGTTCGAACAGACAGTGTAGTATTCTCTTAGTCTAATATTATCAAAACATGAATGAATGATATTCAGATCATGAGGTTTTGTAGGTATCTGGGTTATAAATGGATGTTGTGAATCTGTCTTGGCCAGTGGGGTCCACAGTCTCAAGATGAAGAGGTTGCTCATTGAAGGTATCGTTTGAGAGTATTGCCATTTCACTAATTAAAAAAAATTAAAATTCACAGTCCAGTGGTTTCCAGAGCAAGTGGTCAACGAACCTGACTTGTAAACTGAAGACGCAAGAGTCGACCCCCAGTGGAGCCATGGGCATGTACTGATGAAGAGTGCAAAGGCAGGACAAAACGGATGTTCAGTACTCCCTGATTTTTAATGGTTTTCTAGCTGATGTAATTTCGTGATGTAAGCTGAAGTTATTATTCGGTTTCAAATTATCCTCGTTCTAATTATTCGGCTTTCAGATAATCCAAAGGTCATGATTTTCCCAATTCATAGAAAACCAGACAAACTTCGGAGGTATAAATGTTGCAGAAAAGAACATGGGTTGAAAAGAAATTCGCAGTTCATGCTAAGGGTAATATACAGTTAATGTGTCATTTTAATTTCGATTTCTATCAAAAAGAAAACTTCCACACTATATATTTTGGTCTCTCAGACATAAAGAATGAAATCTCGAACAGACAGAATCACTCAAACAACCCCGAAGATATATATGTATATATATTGCTAGTGGTTAGTATGATCACGCGTCGGTAATTCAAGGATATCACAGTCACCAATCAGGTACACTATCTCGGTTGGATTCCCGGGAACACTACGAGACCTCACCTAATTTACTAGCGGATATTGAGACTGGGAAAGAAGGAAGGTTGAGCTTGAAGCTATCAATCCCACCCCGTAAAGATCAAAGAAAATCACTACCACCAAAGCTTCACAAACATGAAACGATCTGTTTGACTTGGAATACAAAGGAATGCAGGTGTGAATAGAAGCACTCTGAAATTCTCCAAAAACACATCTCACACTTTTAATTCTGTATGCATTGTGAATGAATACAAAAGAAGATGACAACAAATTCACGCATACAAACACATGAACACATAAAGAAACTCACTGGTCTCCAAGATCTAATCTGTGACTATGTCCAATAGGATAACCTGTCACTGATAAAGGTGGTTTAACTATGCGTGAGTGAGTTTGTAAGGATTGTAGACTTGTTGCAGTCATTCCACCAGTCTGTACCGAAAAAACAGATATAAAAAAATTTGTTGAATAAAAAACTGTAATTATAAAATATTATTGGGTTTCAATCAATACAGTGATCTCGTTTTCACATCTCTTTGTTTTCTGAATTTCTCTGCTAGCGTGGCACTGCTGAGTGCATAATGTCTAAATGAAATTGAAAGTAACCTACTTTTAAAAGTAGAACAAACGTCAACAGAGGTCAGCGAGTTCGAACTCAGGAAATCATTAATTGCAAGTAGCAACAAACAAGCACATTTCAAGAGCTGTTTCTGCTTCAGTTGATTGATTTACTTTGACAGTCAGTGGTTCTATCCCCTTTCCCTTTAATTTATCCTGTTTATCTACTTTTCATTCAAATAACAGTTGAAAAGTACACAAATATAATTTATATTAAATGTGAATTAGCATAATTTGCAAGTCAGTAATGCCAGATGTCTAATTTTGCAAGGCTTATTGATGTCATTCACATCCTACTAACCTTGACAGTATTTGCGGATGGACATGTGTAAAACTCTTGATATCGTAGATAAACAAATACTACTAATCAGGAATCAATCTACTCTTGCTAATGTTTTTGTTATTTACCCCTTAAGTAATGAATTTCACTAGTCAGTTTTCTCCATTTTACAACAACGCTTCAGCTTATCCTCCACTATAGATTTCCTCTTGAATTACATACAGCTATTCAATGGGCTGTGACCAACAGTGAAATCCAGGATGCTTATTTCTTCAGGAGTACACTCATTCCCAGTGAGTAATGGGGTTCCAAACCACTGTTCCAAACGTCAAAGCATTATTCACTAGACCACCGGATTCACCAAGTTACTTCAAGTTCGTCCTCGGATGTCGTCGAAGCTTCCGACAAATGAACACAGGCTGAACATCTCGGTCCAATCAATTAACAAGAGAATCGAAATTGGTGTGAGAACAAATAATGACTATATATACTTTAGAAACTTTATTTCAACAGATAAGGAAATCGCTGATGTGTCCATCCTATGATTTTCCAACGGGACGAAAACAGAAGGTATCCTGGATTTAACTAGTGCAGCTAATATTACATGAACAACAAGAGAAATTTTTAAAAAGTTGGCAACACAGAAACTTACCACTCCTCCATCAACTATAGCACCGTTCCCATTATCACTCTGCAATTGAACAAAGGAAATAAAAATCATGTTTTAACAAAGGCTCAGCTAATGTAGAAATTATCTCTAATTTTTCTACTTCTTGAGTCCAAAGTAGAACATGGCGCTTCCAGCTCTCAGCTTTCAAGTTCCAGTAGCCATGGTGTTGTTTAGTTTTACATGGTGGATTTGCTAGTGTCACGCCCAACTTCACCCCTTTACTGGGCATACTACTCAGTGGTCAACTAGGTGATGTATAGGAATACGCCGGCCAGGAATCGAACTCTGACTGTATATGAGGTTGGCGAGCACTCTACCACTAGTTCACACAAACAGGTTATTCCATTCAAGTTAAACGCGTCAAGATAATAACCTAGTTTTAGACGGTTATCTCTCTAGGTTAAATTGAAACAGTATAATATGCGCAGCATGAAATAGCATTCTATTCACTTGAATTCAAACTGTGATCAGTGATATTTTAAATCCAATATGTATTCAGTTAACTTTATTCCATAAGAACGTTTATGATGAAAGTAGGATGTTATTGGTATGTTACAAAACACTGATCTGAATGAATACTGAAATGTACTAGTTGGTCTAGTTCTTAAATTTGAAAAAAGGAAGAAAACAGAATAAGATGTGTTGAGTAGTTGTCGGTAAGCAATCAGCGTAAAGCTCTGAACCTAGATTTAGGACGATTTGGCATTTATCGCAGCAGGTTGTATCTGCCAACTTGAATAAACTTGGAGAGTCACTCAAAGCAGCAGTCGGAGATGTTATCATTGAGATTTTCAAACCCAAGACTGACCACCACCTGTTGGAATGTAATGGATATATTTATTATTGACACATGACATTGGTTACTATCAAATCTGCATTCTTCTTCACTATTCTACCAATCTCCACTAAGACAATAACCAACATAATCCAGTATGAGTTCTAGGTTCTATGTTTCTACTTCCATTTTTCTTTATTCCTTTGCATTCCAAGTAAAACACAGGGCCTCCAGCTTTGAGTCTTAAATTTTCAGTGACAGTGGTGTTATTTTTTATGGGGCGGAGCTACTAGTTTCAAGATGGCCCTACTTTCCCTTTTTATGGCACTAACTATAGGCTGGGCGGAGTTAAGGAGTGTTTCAGTTGGAAATCGAGTAACTAATAATTATTCTTAAATTTGTTAGCTGAATTCATTCATTTTAAACTTTTGCGAAAATACTAGGAATAAATTATTTCACAAAATCTCTTTTTTTTATTTAATCACTAAACCTATTCAGCTAACAGAGTTTTCATGAGCTTTCAATTCCGTGTGTGTGTTTGTGAGCTCAAGTGAAAGGACAGGGAATAGATAAAGTGAAATGAATTTACTTCACTTCCATTATGTTTATATTTAATTCACTTTGACGAAAAACAACACCCCGCTACAGTGACCAATCACCTTATCCACGAAATTCCAATAGGAAATGATCAATCGTGAGCCCGAAAAGCCTGATGATAATAGCTTTGACTAGAGCTCTGAATAATGTGGATTGGAATCTCCAAGGGGATATCACTTCCTTCGATAGTTGCAGATACAACTTGCTGTGGCAACTGTAAATAAGCCTGACACCCAGTTGTTTTTAACAACAAAACAGTTATTGATCTTTTTTCATTTATTACGTTCCAAGTGGAACATTTCCACCCTAATGCTTTTCAGAATTCGGTAGGGGTGAGGTTGCTACTTCAAGCTTAACTTTTTCTCCTTTCTAGTCATACTGCTGGCTGGTAAACTAGGCGAGGTTAAGTGGAGTGAGTCGACCGAAAATCCAAGTGGATTTCACTTCCTCTGAAGACGTTGTCTAGAGAGACAAAGAAAGTATTACAATTAAATCACCCAGGTCAGAGAACACAACTAAATCAAAATCATCTGTATGGGCTACAAATCTTCTTTATGATATATATAAGCATTGAAATGAAACTACAGTGAAAGCGAAATAATGACAACTACAAAACGTGACTACACATCTCACTCACCAATAAATGTTTCTTCTCTTTTACTATTAGAAAAAAATATAAAAAAAGTAAAATAATTAGATAATATTCTTCCCTTAAGACGTAGGCTATCTCTAAAAACAGTAAACAAATTTCGTGTTATTACGTCACCATTTTGTCTGCATTCCCATCGTATTATTTTTTGGACAGTATACATATTAACGTAATTAATTTTTAACCTATCAGATGAAAAACGTATTCCAGATAACCATGAGTCACACTTTTCTGGTTCCCTTAGGCTGTAATAGGTGGAACAGGACTCGAACCCAAGACACATGTTAGAGCCACGTGACTGCGGAGACGTGGACGTAATTTCATCACGCCAGGTGACATAAGCAGTGTATTCTTTTTAAAACAGTCATTTAGAATGTTTACACAAGTATTGTGACTGATCATTCCTAGTGGATTTATGATCACTGTCGAAATGTGAAACGCTACTGACTACTGTGATACACTAAAGGATATTTAAATGGACAATAATAATGATTATCGTCAATTTATTAGGCAACATAACAACCACACTTCAGGAATTCAGTCTAAAATGATCTCTTAATTGTGTAGAAACTTCCAGATCTCATAAATTTCGTTCGCTTTGTCAATTTAGGTTAGATTTCCAAATCTTTGAAATAAAGAATAATTTACTCAGTATAATTCTGTTTAGTTATATTCATAATTCATGATAGCCATTTATTTTCGTCCATATTTCAGTCATTTCATTATAACAAATACAGTATCATTTGAATATTTGAGTGTAACCTTGAAGGTATAGTTAACGAATCGGATTTCAGCAAACTTTCAAAGCTCAATATCAAATAATTTGAAAGCCTTTGTCTTATTTACATACGTACAGGTATCAGCATAAATCAAATTGATGCGAACATAAACCTTAAGTAAATTGTTAATTTGTAAACATTTTTTTTCGTTATTGTTCCGAATTGTTTATCTTTGCATTACCTTATTTCAGAAGTCGGAGAAGAAACTCTTTTTTTAATACTGTGAATGCCAAAAAAACTGTTTTCGTTAGTTGTTTTATTATAATTTATTCCGCCTTATTCATTCTAAAAAAGGCTTCTTAAGCCATATGTCAGTTTGGCATAATCGTATATTTACACACTCACAAACGCTACAAAAATAGGCAAAAGGAGGAATTTGTACAGAATTTCGACATCACTGAGAATAATAATAATCATAATCATACCAATAATTCCAAGTAATTTGTAGCATTTACGTGGAAAAAATATGCATTGTTTCTGAAAAACAGTTTAGCAATTTTTTTATTTGTGTGAAATTCTAGAGCCCTGTTCTCCTATTGAATACTAGATAGTAACTAATGCCTTGCATATAGTGCTTTGGTGCAGACTGGATTCTATCAGTCAGGCTTGTAATTTGATCAACATGATAGGTGGTTCGCCATGATCACAGTGCACTCTAAACTTTTGTTTGATGGGTGGAGGTAAGGACAAGATGCGTTAAACCAGTTAGTTTCCAATCAAAGTATTCACTACAGTCCTACAGGAAGTCAGTCACGCACCCAAATAGCTCAGTAGTAACGTCTCTGACTTCATCACTGTGTGACCCGACTTCATATCTTAGAAGCTGTTTTGTACCTACGTATAACCCAAGTGGGGACCAAACCCAACTGCTTCAGTTTACAAGGCGAGATGAGGGACCATTCAGTCACTGAGACAGAATCTAATGACCAACCCGTGAATTCTAACTCCAGCCAGTTCACGATATTTAATATAGCGCAAGCTCCAGCCAGTGTTGTTAGCGAGTACCTCACCTCAGTGACCATTACTTCTCACTAGAACTGCTATGCACTCGATCCTATAGTCAGTCAGGAAATGCATCAAATGTACGGATATTCTTTGTAAAGCCTGCAATGGTTGGAGGAACTTAACGAAATGCTATAGGTATAAAACTTAGGCACTGTGGTAGAGTATAACTCCATTATTGATAAGTTTTTATTTTGATAAGTCAACTATTCCAACCTTAGCTAAATTCATATGTTCAGATAATCTCACTCCTCCTGATCTACTAGTTTAGGATTTACCCAAGGTTGAAATGGCTGACCCCGAGAAGATAAGTAATTTTGAAAAATACTCAGCAACAGCACTGCATACATTAACACACACCCACACAATAGGGTGGGACAGACTCGAAATTCTAAAAACTAATATAGGGAGGTGGAGAGAGATTGATTACTGAATCCTGGTTCATCCAGTCTACACTCAACACATGCAACAGAAATGACTCAATGCAAATACCAGAGATATGTTTGGAAGATACTATTACCACCAGTCAAATCAGAGGAGGATAATAAATAATCTCAAAATTCTATTTCAATTCACGTACATCATAACATTCTAAAAAGTTACTTATTTTGACTATAAAAACACTCGTCTTATTTCCCATCTGATTGTATTTGATTGATTTTTATTCAGATGTCTAATAAATTTCACTCATGTATATGAATGAAGTAAAAAGTTGTGTGAGTGACTTGATATGATTATGAGCAGCATTAAATTGTGCTCGAAACGTCATCAGTTAATATTACTGTACAACACTGTGTGATTTATCAAAATAAAATCTTATCAATAATGGAGTTATACTCTACCACAGTGCCTAAGTTTTATACCTATAGCATTTCGTTAAGTTCCTCCAACCATTGCAGGCTTTACAAAGAATATCCGTACATTTGATGCATTTCCTGACTGACTATAGGATCGAGTGCATAGCAGTTCTAGTGAGAAGTAATGGTCACTGAGGTGAGGTACTCGCTAACAACACTGGCTGGAGCTTGCGCTACATTAAATATCATGAACTGGCTGGAGTTAGAATTCACGGGTTGGTCATTAGATTCTGTCTCAGTGACTGAATGGTCCCTCATCTCGCCTTGTAAACTGAAGCAGTTGGGTTTGGTCCCCACTTGGGTTATACGTAGGTACAAAACAGCTGTCCGGTAATGCCTGCTTTCCAATGATTCTCTTGTTTCCTATCCTTTGGATCTGTAAAGTGCTTAAACCCTGTAGAAACGTATCGTTCGGATTTACTGTGATTACATATATATTCAATAAGTCGGAGTTTAATGTGTTGCCGTGAAGTAGCCTGTATATTTTTTAAGTGTGAACATCCATGAAACAATATAGGAAAATATTAATATCATTGTATAACGCTGTGTGATTTATCAAAATCAAATCTTTCCTATGATGGAGTTAGAGAAATGCTGCTTTCCTAAATTCCTTATTAGAATTATACTTCTGAAAATTCTACTCATGACATTTATAATTCACACCACCACTGATATTTTGAATAGAAAAGATTATTTCACTAAGTTCACTCTACTCTTGATTACCAATTAAAATTCAAAAACAGCAGTCAGCAAAATGTATATATATATATATATATATACAAGCCAATGAAACCATCAATCCCACTTACCAATTATTGCACTTTCAGGTGCAGCACAGCATACAGCAGCTAATCTATCCCATGCACTACGTCCACCAATACGACTTGATTTACCAGCACACCAACCACAACAACCAGGTTTACATCTCCAACAGGCCCATATTAGCGCAGAGATTAATAATAATAAAGCTAATAATAGTCCAGCCAATAATGCATCGACCATAGCACCGCCTAAACCGAATAATCCACCAGCTTGTGAAAGGATAAGTCCAGTGCCAGGATTGATACCAGTTGCACCAGCACCGTAGGCTTTACCATCTAAATGTATACAGATTTGTAAAAAAACGAAAGTTAGGATAACAGTGAATTAACAAACCTATTGTAGTGACCAAAATGAGTAAGTGAGAACAGTGAACACGGCCAACCGATCGATATGAGGATGGAAATTTTGGACTCAGCTAGAGTATAATTCCATCACAGAGTAAACTTACTTGATAAAATGACACAATGAATGATACAATATTATTTACTAACAAACGCAGAAATAAATCTGGGTAGTATATTCGAACGCCTCAGTTGTGGAATGAAACAGAGAGATCACAAAAGCTCAAAAAAATGGAAAAACATTAGTGGAACCATTGAGGACAACATAAATTTAGGGAGAGTTTACGGTATCTGCTGTTTTACCACATACAAAGGAGGAACATCTGAAACCCTACGTAGAATTCTCAGTAAAGCAGGAATTCGGGCGGCATATAAACCTACGACCTCACTCAAGGACAAGCTCTGTAAGCTAAACAGCCACACTCACTCGGTTAAACAAAGTAATGTAATCTACAAAATAGCCTGCAATGATTCGGAAGCCAACTACACAAGTCAGACCAGAAAATCGGGAATAGTCAGATTACTAGAACATAAGATTTTAGCTAACTTTGGATTCATTGATCCCACGAAGATGAATCATTTAAAGAAAAAATCAGAAATCGCAGTGCATACATTAACACACAATCATACGATAAGATCGGACAGAGTTACAGTTCTACAAAGTATCATAGGCAGGTGGAGGGAGAGGGAGATTACTGAATCTTTGTTTGTAGAGTGATAAATAAGACAAGTCAGTACTGACATCGGTCAAAGGGCCATTGGAAAGTCTGGGAGTACTGGACAGTTGTTTCGTCCTAGTTTGGAACTCTTCGTCAGTACGCACCCAACGTCAGGATTCGAACCCAGGACCTTCTGGTTACAAGACGAGCGAGCTCGTAGACCATTAAGCCACTAGGACTCGATCCAATGGTCCATGAATTCCTACTTCTACCACTTCATTATATGGTGCAACCACTAAGGAATGTCATCGCTGGCGACTATTTGTCCTCACAACCGACCTGCTGTACCCCACTGGTCACGACTCCCCAATAAAACCCAGGTAACTACCTTCCTGAATAGAGCTAGTCACTAGTGATCACCAGATTGATAACCGATGTCAGTTGGTGATGAAATCCTGAAACCAATCTAATCCTTGTAAACCAACATTTGAAAGACAGATCGGTTGATAAGGTAGTGTATTCTGACCACCTGAGATTACTGAAATATGGGCTAACCATTGCATGCCACTGTCTGTTATGACCAACAGTCCTGCCTAAATTAGGATAAGCTTGTAAAGTGATAAAATTAAGTTACAAAATTGTTAACTTATAACGTGATTCGATTACCATTGTAATTCTAGGCACGACAAGTTAAGTTCATTCCTTTTTGTGAAGAATGCCTCTCTGACTCAATATTTAGTCCTGAACTTTTCAAGCGTAACATAGTGTGAGATACGAAAGTATGTAAAAACCTGGCTAAAAATAACTACAACAACTTCAATTCCAAGAAAGTATAATTTCATACTTCAACTCACGTCACTTATGAATGATATCGGCTGTTGACTTATAGAAGTGCTGAAATTCTGAATATCTAACCCAGCTCTTGTTGACTGAAGTGTTTAGTTTGTGGAATCAATAATTTATGGTTTATATTTGTAGATGATGTGATGTGAATTCTATTGCCTAAGATTTGGTCACACTTAGAGCTTTTAGTGTTAACAGCTAAGCGTCAACTTCAGTACTGTATTTGTAGAGCTTCTTATAAGGTTGACACTAAATTATTCTGGCATTACTCATTACATCAGCTCAAGCATGTTTCAGATGGTCTAAATAACAACAGTTTATATTAATGATATTTTCAGTAAGAATATAATGGTATGTTGCTTATGGTATTATAATAATTCCCTTAGGTTCCAAGTGGAACATAGGGATTCATCCTGTTTCCTAAAGTCATTTTTAACTGGCTGTACAGCTACCCGTTAGCTCCCATCTCCTCCTCACACAACCTCTTCCATGTCACTCTTGCATTCATGCCTCACTAATACTTCCCCAATTCGGTTCCACTCGAGTGATGGCCTGGTGGGTAATTTCACTTAAGGGTCTGCCCAGTGTATAACCAATTTTGGTTGGTTTGTTGCCTTTCATTGTTCGCTGTTGCGATTCCTTTATAGCTGGTCATCTGATCTTCAGTATGCAGTGAAATGGGCAGCTGATGACGAAAGCCTGAAGCATGACTGAAATGTTTTTGGTGATACTTGTGCCAAGTGTCTGAAAAATATAGACGAACTGATTTGATATCATTGTTGAAAGTTTGATTGATGTTCTTTGTGCAGCTTACTTCCGAACTGATTCCAGAGTGATGAAGGTCTGTTTTGCTTTACTCATCCTGCCTGGCCTTGACATCCTCATCCACTCTGCAGCCTGTAGTCAGAACGATGTTGCCTAGATAAGTTCAGGAATTGACCCCTTTCGAATTTCTTCCATTGACAGTGATTGGTGTTTGTTGTTGTCTCTGTTGTTGGTTGTCTTCATCGCCTCTGCCTTCTTTATGTTCATTTGAAATCCTATCTCCGCTGCATGCTTCTTCTGCCAGTTTGTTGGTTTTCGCCTGCAAGTCTTCGAGTTTGTATGACTATTAGACATAAGTCATCTGCGAAGTTCAAACTTCTAGAGCCTTCTTGTCAGTTCAGCGTGTGCCTGTCTTCTGGCTCACCATTCACTGTCCACCGCATGATCCAATCCACCACAGTCACGAATATCACTGGTGATAGTAAGCAGTCCTGTCGTACTCCTGTCTTTACTCCAAACGCTTCCACTAAACTTACTGTTGTGAATCACTTGACACCTGGCACCACCATATGGATGTTGAATTTGGTTGATAATACTTTTAGGTACTCCATAACATACACACATACGCGCATATAAGCACATACATATATACATACATACTTTCATCTGTTAACCATTTTGTTTGTAGGTATAAACGCCTTCTGTTCAAAAAATGAAGCAACTAAAATTCTTGAAACAAAAAACATACCCGATACGAAAATTGGTGCTCCAAGATCAGCATTCCCTGTACCCAATCCAGGCATAACAACACCACCGCTTATAATACCATCAGGCAGAGTTTCAGGCAATGGTCCAGTGTCTGGTTTTCGTACTGGTGTACTGGGTTTAAGTAATTCTGGCATAAGGACGACAACAATTTCATCCATATTTTTAGCAACATTTCTTCCTGGACCTGACATGACTTTAGCACTGGATACAAGTGAGCCAACTTCGTTAATTAGATATTGACCGTTCCAGTAGAAAGCTTTTGTATTATAGAAGGCAAATAGAGAGGGAAAATAATACAAGATTAGTTTGTTTAAACAAGCAACGTATGATAAAGCATAGAAGGTAGAATTCCTGGACCATTGAATTCCAATCCAGTAGCTGAGTCGTGACATGCTGCCCTGGTAAAGTAGGCTCTAACTCCTGAGGAGTGGTCATGCTTGTGCGCTGCTCCAAAAGATTCCGAAACTCGAACAAGAAAGCTGTCTGCCACTTCTTGTTTCTCTTAAAACCGTCAGTTCGCAATTAAAGATATTGTGAAACATGACTGAATTACATACACTGTATGTAGTTAATTCAGTATAAGCAAAGAATTGTTAATCCCCTAATCAATATTACAACGCATATAAAACTTTCAAGTGTTGTTTTGTAGGGATTTGATTGGTTACAGGATTTCATCATGAGCTGACATCAGTTAGAGAACCATTGGAAAACCTGGGAGTACTGGACAGCTGTTTCGTCCTAGTTTGGGACTCTTCAGCAGTACGCACCCTTCGGCGAAGACATTGGCTAGGGGTCGCGCTATGTCGTGAATTGGCAGAAGTTAGAATTCATGGACCATTGGATCAGGTCCCAGTGGCTTAATGGTATACGAGCTCGCCTTGTAACCAGAAGGTCCTGGGTTCGAATCCTGACGTTGGGTGCGTACTGATGAAGAGTCCCAAACTAGGACGAAACAGCTGTCCAGTACTCCCAGGTTTTCCAATGATGTCAGCTCATGATGAAATCCTGTAAGCATATAAAACTGTTCAGTGTTGATCCATTGACTAAAATAAAGAAATCAAAACAGTGAAATTGATCTATTTAAATTTATGTCAATATGACTGATACAGTTAACAATCTCCTTACGTTTACCTCTGTAGACAATAAATAAACATCTATTCGCATATAACGTGATGAAAGAGAGGTAAAGACTCCACTGACAGTGATAACTGATCATTGCTTTAAATATCCACCAGTAACACTGGTCATTAAGAGCCGAAAAACGGCTGCACTTATGCTATATTATACATGCACATTCACAGCACACTACTAAGAACATCAGTAGCATTTTAGCTCGGAATCAAAAATATAATCTGAAAAGTGTCAGCGTTTTCCTGGAATGATTATCACAGTATAATGAATTGCCTTTCAGATTTCGACTAACACTTTATTTAATAACTTTTTTTGCTTGTAAAGAGTGAAGAAATAATATGGACTATCTTTCCACCTGAGCTGATGCTCGACTAAAAACATAACAACAATCACCATCAATGGGAGAAATCTAAAGGAAGTCGACTCTTCCAATCACCTAGGTAGTAAAATTTCAACTACAAATTGACGGAACGGATGTGGATTTCAAAGTCAACAAGGGTACAGGAATCAACGTATAATTGTCAAATCACTCCGCAGATCACAGCAATCACAACATGGAATAACAACCGTATTCTTAATAATCTCGAATCAGTCAGTGCTTTCATATAGCCCCGACACATCGGGCGTCTAATGCCAAATACATTCTCAAAAAACCACTGAAGAATTCCATCAACACCCAAACCATTCGCTCCATACTCCACATCAGATGACCGTGAGAAGAGAATAATCAACATGGAACTCTGGTCGGTAACGAATCAACCAACAACCGATTACCCAACAAATATGAAGAGGGAAATGCAGGTGAATTGGATTTTACACGTTGAGAACAGTGTTGATTAATATCAAACGTGTCATTTTCAAATTGTGAGTTGAATAGGTATTATTGAGTTGGGTGTCAGCGGGTGGATTGAGGAAGGTTATATGAAGAGTAAATGAAATGTTGTTGGTAGTGATGGAGCCGAATGAAAGTGATGGGAGGGAATTGAGTGAAATGAATATGTGTCAGTGAAGTCCTATATCCTACTTGGAACTTAAAAAGTGAATAATAGTAAGAAAGCTGACATGTTGAATTATACAAATTTCAGTTATCTTAAGGTAGTGACAAGCGTTTTATTAGTTTCCTTTACCTGTGAGTCACATTCAATAAGTAATAAAGGTAACTAAGTAGATTTACTTCAAAGAATCGTTTTGTTCAGCAACAGTGCATTCAAGAAAATAAAAACAAGCATTCTCGTCTTTGGGTTATGTCTTTTTTATGTAAATGGTTGTTTAAAAATGAATAGTTGCATAGTTCATCGGTGGTTAAGTAGTATCGAATCCTAGCCAACCACGCGCATCGTTCGAGTTAATTCCTCACCGACTCACTTATAAACCTCGCCTATCTTACTAATCGACTGTAAGCCTAGAAAAGAGGAAAGTTTGGGCTTCGGACTAACAACCCCACACAGTAAAAACAATACCAGTACTAAAAATTCAGTGCTGACATTATTCTGATATTGATATGCTTAGTTGGCTTAAGCAATTTTCAAGTGTTATGCTTTTTGTGAAATTGTTGACTTAACATTCCATTAGAACTGGTTAATTTATTCCTTATTGAAGTTAATCAGTATTTATCAATTTATTTCCTGAGGTCAGAAATATGTGTTAACCAATAAAAACAAAAGTAAACAACAAACAAACAAATTCTTTTAATTCACAACATGAAATTATTTAGGCACAATTTGAAAACACAAACGGAACTTCTTCAGTTACCATTGTTATCACTATCACTGCCTTAGACATTGAGTGGGGCATACAGATTCAACAGCATATCTCCATTTCAGCCTATTCTTTGCAGTCGTCTATAGGTGGCTGAACGACTGTCCATAAGCTCTCATAACCTCCTCACGCTTTCTCCTCCATGTTACTCATGCATCCACGTCTAACTTGTCGTTTCCTGTTGGGGTTCCACTTGAGGGCCTCACGCGTGATGTCACTTAGTGGCACCCTCAGTATGAGTCTGATCCATCTCCATTTCCTTGTGCACATTCGCTGCACGATATGTTCTTAGTTGGTTCGTTGCCTATCAGAGTTCCTTGGTGTTAATCCTTTCTGGTCAGTCATCTGATCATCAGTAACCAGCTGTTGAAAAATGTCTGAAACCTGTTAGAAATACTTTTCGTGACACGCCAATTCAGTGAACCATACAGAAACACTGACTAACTTGACATTATTGTTGAAAATCTGAATCTTTTTCTTTATGCTGAGTGAAGCAAATTTCCACACTGATTTTAGATTAATTAAGTTCAATCTCGCCTTTCTGATCCTGGCTTTTACATTTACATCCCTCACCGCTTGCAGCTGAAACACTGGTGTCTAGATAACTGGAAGAGATGACTTCCTTCAAATCTCTCCCATTGATAGTGATTGGTGCTTGTTATTGTTGTTCGGTGGGTATCTTCATCGCCTCTGTCTTCTTTGTGTTCATCTGGAGTTATGTGTTTGTTGCCAGACACCTCTTGTTAGTTTTCGTCCGTAGATCTTTGAGTTTGTGTGACATTAGCCATAAATCATCCAAGAAGCCCATATCTTCAACAGTCTTTTTGTCGGCCTAACATATTCCTGTCTTCTCGCTCCCCGAAGTCTGTCGCATGACGTTCGCTAAACTATGCACGAAAACACCTCACGGGGGCTTTTATACCGCCCTCTTTTTTCTATGCAAGTCAGTAACAAAAAAACATTACGACAAAATACGTACATTTTCTTCGTTTTTTGTCCATGTTTCATATGACCGCCTCAGTTAGTATTAATCACCATTCCTATTGTAACAGCGATTAATGGCAGTCATATTTTTATGCATTCCTCCCAAAGTCTTAGAAAAAATATAATCGTAACAAAGTATAATTGTCTAAAATATATAAGGTGCGATCACGTCGTCGGTAAAGCAGAACTCCATTTCTATTGGTCTGTTTTAACTGTTTTCATTTTTAGACAGTTTTCGTCGAAATGAAATTGACTATAACCTTATAAACTAAAATAATGGTGATAGTAATTATGAATAGGTAAACCACACAGAGAAACTGCTAAAAATAGTATACAATATATATCCTGTGATTGGATTAAAAATATGAAGGCTTAGAAAGGCAAGGAGGGAGGGAATGAAGATCTAGGAGAGGCCTACAGAGGGGGAGAAAGATGCTTAAATCCATAGGCTAATTCACGATCCGCTATGAAATTATGAAGCAGACTTTCTTTGATCATTTTGATTGTAAGATAAATGAACAGCGTAGGTGAAGACTAAGAAAATGATACTGAATTTGATTGGTTGGTAGTCTATGACGATGATTGACAAATCATATTTATTTACCCACCTAACTAGTCATTTTGGTGTTATGTGTAAAACACGGACGCTTTGTTGTAATATGTATTTCCACATAAATTTGTTCATTTGATATATAAAACAGTTAAACAACATTATTTACTGGATGACATATCATCAATTCTAACTCCACTATTTCTCAAGTGCAGTTTTGTAGTTAGATTGCTTCCTTTCTGTTTGTTGTAGGGGTGGTAGAAGTGACATTCAAGCCAGCAAAATAACTTCGAAACAAATTATATTTGTTTTTTGGATCATGCAGAGCCCAAAATAAATAATGAAATGACTGAGGGTTTAAATATATAGCCCATAGTAGTAGAATGGGGTGAATTCGATTAGCGCGACGCAAAAACTTGGCAAAATGTGGATTGTTTTAAGTTCGACTGCCGACTGATGTCAGTTAGGGAACTACTGAAAATCGGGGAGTACTGGATAGCTGTTTCATCCTAGTTCGGGACTCTTCAGCGGTGCACACCACCACCCTACCAGTGGTCGAACCCAGGACCTTCAGGTTACGACGACAAGCTCATTGACCATTCAGCTACTTGGGTCGGAATTCCACGGTTTGTGAATTCTAAATTCCATCAATTCGTGATTGGATTCCCTTTCAAGTGGCTGAATTGTCAGTGAGCATGACCTGTTAACCTGAAGATTCTGAGTTCGATCACCGGTGGTGACAAGGGTGTATAACTGATGAAGTGTCCCGAACTAGGATGAACTAGCTGTCCACTATTCTTTGGTTCTCAGTGGTTCTCTAACTGACATCAACCCACGATGAAACTTGAAACGAATCAAATCTCTACAAATCTTGATTAGTTGACGCTAATTAGATAAGAAATCTAGGTATAGTACTGAATGCAGTTACAAACAACCCTACAATCGGATGGCAGAAAGTGACATTCTTGAAATCTAATATAATAGACCGCAAGGAGAGATTCATAATGGAGGCTTTATTTGTCAAAATAACTGAGAATACGCGCACTTTGAATGGTTCACTACCTGTCCACGTCGACATCTAGAAAATTCAACTACTCCCACGAAAACGGTGAGGAAAATAGATCAGAACTATAAAAAACAAGTTTTGAAGTTGTGTAGTTACGTAATTGGTGATGTATTTATTGACAATAAATTGCGCATGAAACTATGTCATCCAGTAAAAATAATGCTGTTCACTTTGTGACATATTAAATAAACAAATTAATATGGTTATTTTAGCACCTAGAAGAGGCGCAATTGTATAGCCCGACAATGAAAGTGTTAAAAAGAACTATTTATGATATATATTTTTTTAACTCATGGAAAATTCCCATTGTAACATATATACATGAGCTTGGAATTCAAAGGGGACTTAGCCTCCGCCGTTAAAGTCGTCTATAAGGCAAAGAGTAATTTACCCAAATCCCTACGTACCCGACTCATCTGTATTGCTGAAGCTTTGGTTATCGAAACAGAAAAGAAAGATCTCTGTGTACAGAAAATTTCGTTCAACCCCTCCAACTTTCATGGTCTTAATCCCTCTATGCTAAAGTATGGTATTCCCTAATCATATTTTAGCTCTACCAATTTTTCATTTTTGTTCATTCAATTTGTATACTCTTCCTTATTACGTCAATTGTTACTATTACTACTTTTGCTTTTTCCTGTCCCCGGTATTATTTCACTTGTTACACTTGTCATTCTAAATCAATTTCTTTCTACAACATAAAATTCTATGCTAGTAAATTTCACACAATATTACGTAATGATTTTATTTTATTCGATTTGTCTACTAATCTTAAAATTGCACACCCTTTTTCAAGTTCTATCCATCCTACGAATCATTCTATATATGGCATTAATTTGTTTTGCCACTTGACATTTAACTACGATTATAGTTTTAATTGCATTTCATGTTATTTTCATTTTATGCATTCACACCTATGATTCGATTCCCTCACCGGATATAACTTCTTAATAAAACCATATATATATATATATATATACGATTGTACAGCTTGATGATAAATTCGTTGAAAAGAGTCTCTTTGCTGAATCATTTGTTTTATATATATATATATATATATATATATATATATAAACCTTTATTACTTATTGAATGTGACTCACAGGTAAAGGAAACTAATAAAACGCTTGTCACTACCTTAAGATAACTGAAATTTGTATAATTCAACATGTCAGCTTTCTTACTATTATTCACTTTTTAAGTTCCAAGTAGGATATAGGACTTCACTGACACATATTCATTTCACTCAATTCCCTCCCATCACTTTCATTCGGCTCCATCACTACCAACAACATTTCATTTACTCTTCATATAACCTTCCTCAATCCACCCGCTGACACCCAACTCAATAATACCTATTCAACTCACAATTTGAAAATGACACGTTTGATATTAATCAACACTGTTCTCAACGTGTAAAATCCAATTCACCTGCATTTCCCTCTTCATATTTGTTGGGTAATCGGTTGTTGGTTGATTCGTTACCGACCAGAGTTCCATGTTGATTATTCTCTTCTCACGGTCATCTGATGTGGAGTATGGAGCGAATGGTTTGGGTGTTGATGGAATTCTTCAGTGGTTTTTTGAGAATGTATTTGGCATTAGACGCCCGATGTGTCGGGGCTATATGAAAGCACTGACTGATTCGAGATTATTAAGAATACGGTTGTTATTCCATGTTGTGATTGCTGTGATCTGCGGAGTGATTTGACAATTATACGTTGATTCCTGTACCCTTGTTGACTTTGAAATCCACATCCGTTCCGTCAATTTGTAGTTGAAATTTTACTACCTAGGTGATTGGAAGAGTCGACTTCCTTTAGATTTCTCCCATTGATGGTGATTGTTGTTATGTTTTTAGTCGGACATCATCATCCTTGTTATTCACTTGAATTCCTGTCATTAACGTTTCCATTCCAACTGTTTGCGCTTTACTTGTAAACCCACGAGTTGATATGATGTAAACTACTCAGTGTTAATGATTAAATGTAAACTTTGAACAAAACAGATTTGTCTCGATGTTAAATAATGAATAGCTAGAAGGGTGGAGAAATAAAATGGCATAGTCGTTCCTAACTATACCCTACTACCTTATCCATCTAATAGGAATAAATCATCTCTTGATCAGGGAAAGCATATTAACAGGATTCATTTTTAACCTAAAATCATTTTCTCATCATCATGAAAGCAATGAGTGTCAACCAGTCCCAATAACAAAATTTTCTAGAAGTGAACAGTTTTTTTCACACAAATAATAACTCACCTCCAATAACTCCTTTGAATGTGTTTTGATAGTTCCGATCAGCTCCAAGGACGATCTCTTGAGAGATCAATGAACCGTCCACAGCTACAATACCTATTCAGGTGGAAACAAACAAAATACCATATGAGAACTTTATAATATAAATTAAGTTGATTGTTAACAAATTCAGGATTGCATCATGAACTGACATCAGTTAGAGGATCATTGAAAAATCTGAGAATACTGGACAGCTCTTTCGCCCTATTTTGGGACTTTTCAGCAGTACGAAAGTATGATCACACTGAGGATCCATCCCAGGGTCTTCTCTTTAACAGGCAAGCTACTCACTGGGTCAGTGGTAGAATGGTACCTATCCATTTTGAGGAAGCCAAACTGAAATGAGGTGACAAAAACTATCACTCTGACCATCATTATGCAGTAATGAAAGTGTGAAGAGTTCACAAGATATCCAACTTTACGAGACAGTTGGGATGAGTTAGAAAATCTTCATTTGTGTAGCACCAAAAACATATGATATTTTATTACAGATTTAGTCCTGGAATACGCTAAGTTCCCTGGTTGCAGATTTTATGAATAAACCATCTGGATCCCGAATAATTCTCAAGTACCAAGGACCACAGTTTCCTTTAGCAACCTAAAGTATTCACATTACAATCTGTGACCAGCTTGATACGACACATATATGTCGTGAAGAAAGTATGTCTGTGTGATCTAAGGAATTAATGCTGAATGTTTTCCAACCGCTCATATCAATCAGTCAGTGGGGAAAACGTCACTCACTAGGGATTGCAGGTACGCCCAGTTGACGAGTCCCTAATAGGATGAGATGTACATCCTAGATTCCACTGCTAGTCAACAATGGATTGTAGTTTCCAGTTATCCAGCATTGTCTTCTGCTTCCTCTTCGATCAAGCCAACAGGCATTATACGTGTGATCGGCTGATTCACACATACTTAAAAGATGACGCCTTAGTTTCTCACTGTACATCAGGTTACTTTACGACTGAATTCTAAAGGCGAAATAGTCTGTTAAAGCTATAAACAAACATGTCACATCATAGAAAATTTTATTGCATACCCATCTGTGAAATGTCATAGGCAAACAGACGTAAAGTCAACATCGTAAGAAATATCATTATGCCACATCTATCCGTGTGACAGACCGCATATGGGGTGAGAAAATGAGAAAGAGGAAACAGAAAGTCGAAAAAACATGAATACTGCGAGAAGCGTTTCGCGCCTAAGTCTGCGATTGTGATGATAATGATAAGTTGGCTACCACGTAGACTGTACGATCAATGTCCTGATAGTGATACGGCTAGTCCAGGAGATATTTTTCCCCAATTCTGATTCTGCCTCCAGTAGCAATGCTAAGTTGAAAATGAGAATTCTAGTGATAGAAATATTCAGATAAGTGCATAATGCATTTACGTTAAATCATCCTGTTGAGACACGATGAAATCACACAAAAACTGCCATATTTTATCAATTATAACAGAACTTATAATTTCATCCTCTCCGTTGTCGCCCACTACCATAGAGCCACAAGAATATGAAATTCTGCCAATTCTCCAAGTTCACTCCTTGTTGTAGGAACACGTATAAAGACGGAACTAATAGAATGCTCCGGCTTATAAAATTATAGACTAAATGAAAATCTCGGTTGCAGTAGATCAGCTTCTAGATTATTAGCCTAGTAGGGGGTCATAATATCACCGGAACTGTATGTTGATTAAAGTTCATTATTTGTTACTCAACTTTTACGATTTATTTTGTGTTATATGCTTACAACTAATTATTTAAGTGAACAGCTATCTTGCTTTTTATTGATTGAAAACTGAGATGTTGTCACAGCAACAACAAGAACAACAACTGACTAGTCAAATGTGTAAATTGCATACTGAACAAGTGAAAAGTGAAATTAAGTGAAATGAAAGAACAGACTTGTTATTGATCATTATACACATAATAATTCATATCAGCCAGTCTACATTCTACAGACAAATATATCTAATGAATACTGACAGTAATAAAAATTTACGGGTCACTGAATTCTAGCCCAACTGTCTGAATTCTCAGCAAGCTTGGTTTCATAGCCTTAAAGTCTTGGGTTCCCCGTGAGATCATATTTCTGAGAAGTTCCAAAGTGGGACAAAACAGTAAACCAATACTCCCTGGTTTTCAGTTATTCTCCTGTTTATATCCGTAATGAAACTTGAAACAAATATAGCTGACTTAAAAAGCACTAAAAGTTCTAAGTAAGCACACTTAACTCGAACAGACCAGCATAAAAGAATCCTATTCCGTTGTCTATCATGTACTAAATAAACTTCCTGAAGCCATTAAGTACCGAATACTCCAAACACTAGATGTCACAGCATTTCACTTGAAACAGCAGGAAGTTTGTGTACAAAAGAAATCCAGATCCAACCATCAGTGCTGTTCTGGCCTGCTGTGGAGTCTATAAATTCATAAAAATGCCGTATAATGTCATACCTTTAAGGTAAGATCTTCTGCCTTGTGAATACAAATCCCCTAAGTTCTTCTCCCATTATTACACCCGCATGGACAAATCTTTTCAATCACACGCACATACATTCATGTTACATCTTACCGCATTTCTCTCCCTCTTTTTGATGTTATCATTGATTGATACGTTTACAATCAGTATGAATAAAATTCAGTATGAACATTAGCTATGAGTATTCATTACTATATATGCGTTGAGATAATAGAACTTTGGCACTGTGCTAGAGTATAATTCCATTATAGAGTAAATTTGTTTGATATATATATATATATATGTATATATGTATATATGTATATATATATATATAATATATTCAACACCAGTCTTCATTCCATACTGAAGATCAGATGACCAACTAGACAGGATAAGCAACAAAGAACTATGGCAATAAACCCACCGGAAACTTATCGCCCCTCAGGTATGCAGAAGAAAAAGTGGATCGATTGGACAAACGCTAAAGAAACATTCGTGCCATGGCCCTTGAATGAAAACGATGAGTTGGGCATAGTTCCGAGGCTGACATGATGGCGATCATATGAGGAGGAAATGAAAGCTTGTGGGCAATTGTGGAGTCAGCTAAAGTGAACTGTAGAGAGCAGAACGAAATGGAGATATGGTGTTGAAGCCCTATATTCCATTTGGTACCTAAGGGAGTAATAACAATATAATATTGGTATTGATTTGTGCGTCGGTGGCATAGCGGTTAGGACGCTCGTCGACCATGCACATGGTTCGGGGTTCGATCCCCTGCCGGCGCACTTCTTTACCTCGCTAAACCAGAAATAATGCTGGTGAAGAGGGAAAGTTGGACATGAGGCTAGCAACCCAATCCTGTAAAATAAACACTGCTAAAGAAACTTCAAGCCACTAGCTTGGTGCCCTATGTTCCACTGCGGAACGTGAAGGAAAACAAAAATTGATTTGTTCACTAGCAGTCAGTTACGAACAAATTTTTCAGTACTATATAACTGCATATTTCTGTTCAAAAAGAGTATAATTATGTCATCAGTATAATTTACTATTTAGTGCCATCACAAGTGAAGAGTGAACTTGAGAATAAATGTGAGGTGGAATACTCTCTTACATTATTCCCTTCATCACGTTTCAAGTTGAATATAGAGCTCCATACTTCGTTGGTGTTTTTTACGGGGTGGAGTTTCTAGCATCACACCCAGCTTTCCCTCTTCTTCAAGCCTAATATCATCCAGCGAATTAGGTAAGGCTTAGGAGTGCATTGGTCGGTGTTCGAAACTGGGACCATATGGCCGGTTTGCGAGAACTTTGCCACTAAACCACTGACGCACTCTGCCCAGTCAATCTAGCTAGCAAGCACTACTGGTTAACGTGACTAGCTTTAAGCAACCTTAATCAGCTAATAGTATATTTCATTACAGCGTTGATAACTTATCAGTACTTTCAAACTGTGACACACTATTCAGTGAATAATCGCCATAACAGTCACACGTATTATCGTAGTTAGAGAGAGAGAGAGATAAAAAAAAGGCTTACACGATGATACCACCCACGCTTTTCCTTAACTGTTGTCTTCTAAATTCCTTCGCTTAAAAATTACTATGTAATAAGTTGTCTTTCTATTCAACAGTGTACATTCATTCCAACAGAGTATTTTTGCCAGCTATGTAATTAGCTATGAAAATGTCTGCATATTATCACGTAAATTGGATCTAATTGAAAAGTAAATATTTCTTCGCTCAATCTTTCTGTTTCCTACTTCTGTTTTGTTTGTTTGTCTGCTTGTTTTTTGAAAGTAACTGCCTCAAAGGTCACGAAGGTCACATACACCCACAATACCACTGATTTTCAGATAGAGATAGATAAAATCAGTTAGAAAACCAAGAATAAATAGTATTTTGTTGATTTTAGAATATAATTTAACTTTGAAAAAAGTATACAAATATATTTTTGTCTTCTGTTTAAATCATAAACAGAATAGTCATTCACAAGTTTTGATTTTCAGGGATTTGATTGATTTCAAGATTAATCATGAACTGAATTCAGTTACAGGACCATTGACGATCACCAGGTAGTACTAGACAGGTGTTTCGTCCTAGTTTGAGACTCTCCATCAGTATGCAACCACGACCCACTCCCTCGAGGATCAAACCCAGAACCTTCAGGTTGCAAGGTGAACTCGTTCACTATTCAACCTAAAAAAGTAATCCAAAGGCCGACTCATGCCAGCTCACGATGTACACAGCGTGATCGCCAACCAATATCACAGACAGATATTTGTCCTAACACCAGACTTGCTGGCCCCCACTGGTCACGACTTCCCATAGTAGTCGTGCTATACGTAGTGAACTCGCAGAAGTTAGAATTTGTAGGCCATTAGATTTCGTCATAGTGGCTCCACGGTATACGAGCTCTTCTTGTAACCTTAAGGTCCCTCGTTCGATCCCTGTTGGGGTCGTGAAGCTTTATGTCAGAATGCGAGGTTTTCATGTCATTGTCGTAAGAAACTTGTTCATACATCATTCATTCAGTACACCTTGATGATATTCACTAAAACATACAACCAACAAGAAACTACTTAGGTACTTTT